ACTTCAAATTGGCTGAAAGTTGAATATCTAGAGAATGAAAAGTGATATAAAAAAAAATGTAAATTGCATTCTCCTACATTTGTGGAGCTTTTCCCCTAGAGGTCATTATGTTGTTTGGATTGATGTTTCCTTCAAACAAGGTGTAATGGCGGTTCAAATCATGATGTAATATGTACAGTTATGTAACTAATACAATTCAGGTTTACAGGTTATGTACGCTGTTAAATGTAGCGATTACAGTACCGTCGCGATTATTAATACGGCTTTAGCGATTACACTCCCAGGATCACACGAGGTTTACGACCAAGAGTGGTTCTTTTGTATTTTGGTATATCCTCGGGGGCGGACATCCGGGCATTTTCACTGCCTGGCAACCCTCACGGTGAAAAAGGCCAAAAACTCGCAGAACACGGAACTTGGGAATGGTTGTTGAGACTCCCCTGAACAGTGTAACAAGATTAGCCCTACGTACGTGTGTAACATATATAAATTTAGTTGTTCAGGATTACTTCAAAGTTGAGTTTGTGTTGTTTTCTCGAATTTTCACCGGCTCGACCGGCGTTCCACAGCAGCGCGCAATGAGCCCATAGAAATGCATGTACAGTGGTGCGCGTCTTAGCAACGTGGAACGTCTGTGACGTAGCTCCGCCCCCGAGAATACGTCGGGCACATCGAGCTCGCGTAATCGCGCGATTCGGACGATGAACACAGGTGTGTGTAGTCAGGAACATAATATAAATACCCAATGGCACACATCTGACTCAGTACATAGTAATATCAATACTAGTGATTCAGCTCAAAATTAGACGACAGTGCGATCTCTAAATTATCTTTGAGTTATGCGACTGTACTACTTCTGCAAGTCGGTACGCTACGCACATCTGCCAAAAGACTCGTGTAACACGTGTGTAACGCAAAGCCCCACGGGTCAAAGTAATCTAATCTACCGCGTCGCCGTAGCGATAACGATACTTGCTCGGGGATACTCGTCGCCCATGGTACACGTGAGCTGAGCTACCGGTCATAAAGTGGATATTTCGATATTATGATTCGTGTAATGCAATATTTTGAAATCATGAAATATAGATAACCACTTCCATGGAAACTAGTAAAGTATCATGACCTACAATCTGTGGTTTTGAAATGAAAGCGATTGTTTTTTTTTTTGAAATGTTAAAATGGGCATAAATTATTCACATGAATACTAAAATTCATGAGTAACGACGTTTGAAACATGTAGTAGAATGGTATTATACTTTCTTGTGTATTTGAGTAAACAACACTGATTGAGCGACGAAATGAGTGCATATATTTTCAGAGAGTACAGCAAAGTACAGTAAATGGAAACAGAAACAAACTTATATTTTTCTACCGGATGTATTTGTGTATTGATATTTGACCATAAAAAGGCAGACGATTTCAAAGACTGAAATCTTTACGGTAGCACCAAATCGAGCATAAATAATTCTGAGCATGTCTAATTGTTCCGCCGCGAGTGTCAGGGACAGCGATTGGGCTCATCTTTTAGAGGGTCTATGTTGGGCTTTATAAGGGGAATGTTTGACTACTGAATAGTTTGAGTCAATTTTGAGAGGAGTGTCAATTTAGTAAAAGAGACATTAACGGCGGTACTATGTTTGAGTTTACATTCTGGAAAACCACTGACAAGAACAAAACAAACCGGTGTTCCGCGGAAATGATTTTGTGTTTAGCTACGGCGGGGGACTCAGGCTGTCACAATGGATTAGCATTGGAGTGTAGCCAGTCACTGCGGTATCTTCGTCAAGGCTTCTTCACAGGGTCACTGGGCATACATTCAGTATAACATTCCGTGATGATGATTGTAGTCAATGTGCTTTATCTCACCCCGTATTACCATCGTTTTAAGATTTAAACGAAATACCTTCATGCTACGAGGAACCAATTTTATAAACATTAGTTATTCTTATCATTTTATGATTCACGTTTTTTGATGCATTGTTTCTATTTTAGATTTTTTGTTCTGGCTGACGGGCCAGGACATTCTTTAATAGATAAAATGCATGGATGATAGTTTACTGGAGAAATTGGCCTAAAAACAAAAGTCATCTCTATAGTGGCCCGATGATGGCAGTATTTGTTGAAAAGTCGACTAGAAAGTCGCTGGTTTTAATACTGGGGAAGCCATGTGCTCTTCTTGACAATGAGAACAACCGGGGGGGGGGGAGTCACTCAATATTAAAACCTTACACCATGTGCATTGACACCAGCACATTGACAAACCATACCCCCTATTGCGGACGCAGTGTAAATTTAGTACCCCCTAAAGCAGACATATTGAAGAAAAAACACCCCTATTTCAGACATATATTGAGAACATTCTACCCCCTATTGCGAGGATTCTTCTTTTTGCACTCAAGTGGAGTGTGATCAACTCAAACAAGTTACTGTGTAGTATGCAACTCCTGTTGGTGTCATTCTTTGTTTGATGAAGAAAGATGAGAACTATTGACATGATAGTGAATATGATCATGTATTTGATACAATGCACACAACTTTGCCAGGATTATTATTTCATCAGATACCATTACGCACTTTTATGTTCAGCTCCGAGTGACTTTGGCATGAATACAGGGAAGAAAACCCAGTAAAAAGCAGGAGCTGAATGCGAATAAGGCCGAGGCGCGAAAGGAGTTTCGGAGAGTTTCGGATGATTCGGGGGGGGGTGATTTTCTGTAGGCGATTTATTGTAATCGACGAAACGAAACGAAACGGGAAAACACACATAATGAAAATTAAACTGTAATCAAAATATTTGCTGAAAATAATAATATTTAATACGCATATGCAGTTTCGCTATTACAGATAATCCGTCGAAAATCTGTAATCAGCGAAACATCGGTCTGACACGCACAATATTCACAACTTTCAGACGACACTTGACCAGTATATTTACCTTTCCGTCGTGTATTTAACACCATGAAACATTTGTCGAAAATAACGGGATTTTAATTAGTGAATGGTTCGTTTCGCTAATTATAAATAATTGTTTTATGAAGTTTTATACACGACTGAAAGGTAAAAATACTGCTCAAGTTTCGTCCGATAGTTGTAATTATTGTACCTGTAAGACCCTTTTTTCGCCGCGTGATTGCAGATTTCCGATTATCTTTAATTAGCGAAACCATGGAACTATTTTTTTTCCATGACTAATTAAAATCCCGTTGTTTTCGGCAAATGTTTTAGGGTGTTAAATACACGACTGAAAGGTAAATATACTGATGGAATTGTGAAAAGGTTTCTTATTGATGTCATGGATTATAGAAGAGATTATGTAGGTTGGATTTATTTTCTGTATTTACTTTAAGTTCAAAATTTTTTTTTTTCATTTATATAATATGTGCTTTTTCCAATAATTCTATTGCAGCTCCTAATTACAAATAAATAAATAAAAATACTGGTCAAGTTTCGTCTCCGGCCGCTGCAGTGGTTTATTGCTTAAATATTATTTTCAGCAAAATTTTGTAAATATTGTGCGTATAAAACCCATTTTCACTGAATACAGTTTAATTTATATTATGTGTGTTATCCCGTTTCGTTTCGTTCCGTTTTGTTTCGTTTCTTTGATTACAATAAGCCTCCGTTTGCTCGTGTTGGAAGTGGCGGCAATGTCCCGGTGGGAAAGTTCAGGTGGACGTTTGCGGACTGATCGGGGCTATGGGTCCGCCAATTTGGGGCCTAGGGCGGTGTATGGGAGTGATTTTTGCAAGAGGGGGCTTACAGCGGGCGCAGCAGCCCTGTGAATATATTTCTTGGGGCCTATTGCAGACATTAGCATTTTAAAGGGGGGCCTATTTGCTTCTCACGCGGGCCCGCTTTAGAAGGTGAAAAACACCTCGCTTTCCCGCTAAATTTGGAACGCACATGGGGTAGTAACAGCATATAGAGTGACCCCGCGGGAGAACAACCTAGTTCTGAAGCACAGTCCTCAGCTAGTAAACTGATATTGTTGAGAGCAAAGATACTGGATACTGTTTGGAACAAAGAAAGAGTATATTCCTAGTGAACGGTCACCCCGTTCATCTGCGAGAAATGATTCCGGACACATTTTATAGACTGCGAAACACAAAAGACAAATTTGACCAAGTTACACAAAATAAACAATCTTTGATATTATCAATAAGTATATTGCTTATGTGCAAACTTTTAACTGAATCAGCATGGACATGAATAAGTTGGCCAGTTTAGAATCACAAAATAATGGTTTTACCAGTCACTATAGCACTTGTATGCAAACCTTTCACTGAATCGAGCAGATGCTTTATCAAATGATGTGCGTATGAAAGTCGTCATACATTCTGTGTGTTAAGTTTGAATGTAATCAGTCAAAGCAATTCTACGATTTCGGACTTCGTCTGAAACGGAGACTAAAACAACAGTAGATACTGTATTGTAAAGTACAAATGACACTAAACAGAACGTTTTTACATATGTTAAGTTTTAGATTTTATATTGGAGATGCCCTATTTCTAATTTTTTTTTTATAATGACGTTGTAACGGGAGGGGGATCTACATCTACGAAAATCGGGGCTACCGCGAAAAAACAACCGATTTTCTCGGTAACTCGGCTTTCGACATTTATACACTCCAATAACATTTTATTTTATTGAAAAAAAATAACAACAACAACTAAACAAGGAACTGTATGCAAGTCTACTGTCGTGAAGATGGGACAGAAGAACTAAGAACTTATCAATTGTTTAAACGTGAATTTTGAATTTTTTAAAAATTATTTGAAAGACATTAAAAACTTCAATATAATAAAACGACTGTCAACATTTTGTCTAAGCGATCACAACTCTCTGGTAGTATAGTATGGTAATAATAAAGAATTATTATTAATGAGGGACAGGTTATGATTTTATTATAGCGGCTCGGCTTTAGGACAGAGTCGGTGTCAATAGTGCATGTGAAAACAAGTGGTTCGTATGGTTTACGTGTTGAGGGCGCAATCGGTAATGGCGGACACCCTGTACTCTGATATTATTTTATGCTGGGCCTCGTTCGTTCTCACGTCGGTTTTGAAGGCCGTGAGCAAGAATACTTTGTGTAAATGAAAGCAACTAGGCATCATGGTGGTATGTGTTTCGCAGAGATAGTCATAAATGGAAGAACATGACACTATTGACGTGGTACGTATGAACATGGTATGAACAATTCTGGTAGCATTCCTGGACCTAGCTGTGGAATCATAGCCCTATGTTGCCGACCGCATTATTTACGTGACTGACTCTGGCCGGCCCATCTATGTTCGACGTACAACTACAAAATTAAAAAAAAGACGTCCAAATGAAATTGTTAGGGCGAAATTCGATTGTAGGTCGCACCAAAGAGCTCCGGAACCGCAGCTATCCTGGACCCCGCCAATTTTGCACTCACTATATAATACTTTTGTGAATAATTACTCTCCAGACCATTGTATTGCCGGTTTACAATGCAGAAGAGTGGTTGGACGAGTGTTTGCAGTCCATATCACTCCAGCCAAAATGTTTTCGTGGAACGATACAACTGTCTGTTTTCAACGACTCCAGTACGGTAAGTTGGTATGACCTTTAACCCCACTGTCATCACAATAAAAGAAAATCACTATATTAAGTTTGCACGACAAATTTTACTATTTTCACAACCCTTTCGGCAAATTATATTTCTAATGAGTAATGAAAATATTAAAGCGGAGGGAGTCTTCACCTCGCATGCGGCAGACGGCCATAGCGTGTAGTTGTTTATAAACACGCGACTACCCATGAGCCTTTGCATTTTTAGCGTATGTTGTTATCGTCGCTAGGGACTCAATTATCGTGCGTGCTTTGACAACTCAGTCCGCGTATATGTTTGATAGTGTTTACCACCATATTCTGTTTGTTATGCTACCATGCATGCCGTTTTAATTTCTCTTGGGAAATTTTACGTGTTCTCAATAAATGTCGGTATCTAACCATATTATTGTTGTAACACTATGCTTTAAAAATCTCTGAAACATTATCAAACATTTCAATTCAATAGCTCCATAGACAGGAGTTATTGTTGTTAAGACAAATAATAACTTAGTCAATAAACAGTGCAAAATGTCAGGTTTTGATTAGTATAGTCATGGAAGGTACTAACAAAAGGAGCCACGACGCATTTGTTCACAAACATTGACAAACATTGGTTTCTGTTAGCTCTTAGCACCTTCTTACAGTGGATTACGCTAATTTTGAGCATTCGATAATATTCGGAGCATGTTCGGGAAGCGCATATACAAGACTGAAAATGACGTCCAGTTTGAATACTGTTGTTTCCGGAGATCTTGGCGAACTTTATTGAAGAAGAACTGGTAAACTATCGTGAATCTTTTTCTATTTGTAATGGTGATGTGACTAATAATCAATGATTGCCTGTGACAATAAATATTGCATTATTCAATGGTACCATTGTCAGTGCGTGGGTTTGATGCACAAAACTGGGCATCGGCGAACACCACCAAAAAATAGAGTACCGAAAGCAGGGCATGCCTAGACACTTTCTTTGCAATAATATTTTTTTAGGAGTCTTTAGGAATTTTTGCTGTAGACACCCAAAATCTTGTTGTTGTTACAGTTGCTAATAATTAAAACATGTGAAATCTGTGAAATTAAACGTTCATCTGTTGAATTTCCGGTTGTGAAATACGTATTATGAGCTTTCACACCTAAACAAACCCAGTGCGCATGTGTGATGACTGTAGTTTCATAATGCGAATATATTTTATGGTCACATTAAAAAATCAACGATGTTACGGTATGTCATATTCCACTACCTTCCATGGTATAGCTAAGTAACTCAAAATTGAAAGGAATTTCAACTATGTCTTTAAGTCACTCTTGTTTTTAAGGGCGGTGGTCATCATGCAGTCCATGTTTGATGTATTTACAAATATTTTATATACAGTGCAAGCGACCCATATTAATAAAAGAGCATAAACAATACAGTGATTGAGGCACATAGCTTGGGCTTTCATTCAAATTCAAATGATAACATTAAAAGGGTTAACAGAATAGCATAAATTCAAAAGTTAGGCCATTTTTTTCTTTCAGTATTTCCTTACAAACGAAAACCATTGCAATGTTAACTATCATTTTAAATATTGATATTATCAATTACTAATTTCAGGATACTTCCGCTGAAATATTAGAGTCATGGAAACCCAAACTAGAAGATGCTGGAATATCCGTCGTGATAGGGAGTCATCACTCAAAATCACCCTTAGGAGGTGAGAAATTATGTCAGGTCATTTAAATTTTAAAAAATCATGGAATCAATATTATCTGTCCCACTTTGGCTGTTTTACTATTGTACAGACTTTATTGGTTCTTGTCAAGTAGGGGTATTTAATCAGTTTCCTACCATTAAAATTTAACACCAGATTTCCTTAACTTTATTTTATGCTGTTGCTCACAAAATACAGATAAAAAGATATGAACTATTTTTCACAAAAAAAATGTGTCAAACACTTTTGAACATTTTTGAGCCATTTAAAGTAATGTCGTTCCCCAAATTTTGTTGGAAACATATCGTCAAAAATGTGTATGTATTTATTAGATGGGTACTTGTGGCTGTCCTGAAATATTAGGAAATTGCTATTTATTTTATGAAATTATGCTAAAATAATTTGTTTTGGGTAAAAAAATGACTTGTGTTTGAATTAACAATTAGGTAACACTTTTGAAACACTTTTTCACTCTTATTTGATAATTTGAATGCCTGTGAACAGCCTTAGGTGTTGAATTGTGAATGATTTTCAATATTTTGATGTTTCAGTGGGATTTGCCAAGAATAAAGCTGTAGGTCAAAGTCATGGCAGGTTTCTATGCTTTCAAGATGCAGTAAGTAATACAGTACTGGGACATTGGGCTGACCATTTAGTATATGAAGTGGTGTCTTCAAAGATGCTATAAGTGATACAGGGACATTGGGCTGAACCATTTAATATTTGCTTTTTTCCCAAGATGCAGTGAGTAATA